TATAAGCTAAAAAGTTGAAAAAGATCGAAAGATGGTTAGGAATTTATAGCATTCTAATTTATCGCATTTTAAGCCCAAACATTGCTATAACTAGGGCACGAAATAAGTTGAAATAAGTTGGTTTCGATTGGGTTTTGATTGATTTTTGATTGGGTTTTGAATTGGGTTTTGAGTAGATTTGAATTCCCGGTTTTGGATAAGGTTTTGATTAGGTTTTGAGTGGGGTTTTGATTCAGTTTCGATTCGGTTTGATTAGGTTTTGATTAAGTTTTTGATTAGGTTTAGTGCAAGGTTTTGATTAGGTTTTGATTCAGTTTCGATTAGGTTTTTGATTAGGTTTTTGATTCGGCTCAGGTGAGATTTCGGTGGAATTTTGATTCGGTTCCGTTTCGGTTTCGGTTTCGATTAGGTTTCGATTAGGGTTCAGATTTGGTTCTCTATCCTTTCCCGATCAGATTCCAATTCGAGTTTAAAAGTTAGAAAGATAAGGGGAATTCGATTTATTACGGACAATTTCTCGACCCAATCTTTGATTTTGATTCGTTGAAACTCATGACTTTCAAATTCAGATTCAAATTCAAATTTTTCAGATTCAACTTTCAGATTTAAATCAATTTCATTTCAACCTTCAACTTTGAATCAATTTCATTTCAAATCCAACATTGGAATCAATTTCATTTCAAATACCAAATCCTTTCAAACATCCTTAGCGCACTATGTGGGGAGGTAAACTTCAGATTCATACTTATCAAATTAGATATAAGGAATATTCTTATATCAATTAAGATCTAAGAATATTCTTATATCAGTGAGATAAAGATAAAAGTAAATGCAGATATCCAGTAAGATCTGAGCATGTTCCAATATCAGAAACTAGATAAAAGGAATATTCCTAAAACACCCATAAACTCACATTGGCAAGGACTCTCTCAGCAACAGAATTTACAGCAAAGGCGATCGTTGGGTAAATTGATCCTCACTCATAAAATCGAATAAAACCGGCACAACGATATTGAACAAGGACAAAACCTGAAGAGAAATTTAGAGTATAAAAAGTTTATAAAAACTAGATCTATACCACTGTACACCTTTTTAAAATTACGATAATCGGATTGTCTTTTCCAACATTTAAAAAAAACACTTTAAAAAGGTTATCAGTACTCCATCAGCAACCCCAACTTTGAGCTCAAATATCTTAGCTTTGGGTTATCCAATTTAAACATCTTTAATATCATTAGATGCATAAGTCTTTCTCTATCAGTTGATATAAAAACTAATTAAATTGAACCGCCCAGCACCGAGTTCTTTTAAGCTCAAAGTTAGATTGGCAAAGAAGGCGTTCCCAAAGACCTTTTATACGTGCCCCGCCTTTTTTGCCATTGATAATCTAGCTTTGAGCTGAAAGATCTCGGTGTTGGACATCTCCGAGACGGTCAAGCATCTCCAAGACGGTCCAATTCTTTCAAAAGCCATTCCAAAAACTCCTTACTCACTTCCGAGAGAAGATCAACGTTCTCTTCGTCATTTATCTCCAAGATCAGCTGAAATCCCTCTCTGAATCGACTTTGGTAACGATTTCCCACCTCTTTCACAGCATCAGTTTCCCATCGAATCCCGTGTAAACCCATGTGGAACAGTCGAGAATGACCACCTGCAATGGTGCTTCTTTTTTCTTCTTTTTCTTCTTTCTTTTTCTCACTCCACCTCGCGTCACCAAGTGGGGTCTTTTCGGGAGCAGACACGTAGACTAAAAAGTTGATTAAATAAAATGATTTTTTCGTATTCTCTCTAATAGTAATTTTGCTTCACTGTTTTTTTAACCCCCCCTCCTGGACCGCAATACTATTAGAGGATGCACTACTATTAGAGAGAATACAGGATATGATTCTATTGATAAAGTTGATTAAATAAAATGTTTATATGATTATTCCGATAAAGTTGATTAAGTAAAATGATTATAAAAAGTGATCCAGGTATTACTCAAGTAGATCCATTTCTGCTATAGCCTTTGCTTTGCGCATCTTACTTATTACCACCACCGCTACGCGCGCCTCTTTTGCTCCTTTGCTTAGCTGTGCTGCAGCTGCTTTGGAGATATAAAGCGCTTTCTGTTCTGTATAAAAGTTCTGCCCAGCTTCAAAAGCAGTTCTAAAGAGATCATGGCCGAAACTCCATAAGATGGATTGTTACTCCAGTCAGAAAAACAAGGTGGACTAGATGAGACAAAAAGGCAAGCTTGACTAGTTTGAGATGAGTAAAAAGGCCAGCTTGACCTAAAACAGATGGAAAAAAAAAAAAAAAAAAACAAAGAGCCAGCTTTAGGCTAAGATCGAAAACAAAAGGCCCCCCCCCCCAAAAAAAAAAAAAAAAAAAAAAAAAAAAAAAAAAAAAAACACACACACACACACACACACACTCTCTCTCTCTGTGTGTGTGGGGGGGGGGGGGGGGGGGCAAACTTGACTAGATGGGACAAAAGGCCAACTTGACTAGATGAGACAAGGAGCCAACTGACTAGATCAGACAAAAGGCCAGCTTGACTAATTGAGACAAAAGGCCAGCAAGGCTAGATGAGACAAAAGGCCAGCATTGATCAGACAAAAGGCCAGCTTGACTAGATCAGACAAAAGGCCCCTTTCATTCAGATGAGACAAGAGGCCGGCTTGACTAGATCAGACAAAAGGCCAGCTTGACTATAGATGAGACCAAAAGGCCAACTTGACTGAACCGGACAAAAGAGGCCAACTTGAGCTAGATCAGACAAAGAGCCAGCTTGACTAGATCTGACCAAAGAGGCCAGCTTGGCCAGTTCCGACAAAGAGGCTAGCTTGACTAGGTCAAGGAGACAAGGCCTGGCTGCCAAAAGTAGATCAGGAGATATAAAGAAGTAGATCACTGGGTCCTCGCTATTCGATTAATTTTGCTTGTCGCTATTCGATTAATCATTAAACTTGGAAATGAGCTGGAGAACTGATAAAATCCAAAGAACACTTTTCCAATGAAACAGTAAATCAGAGTTTCTCTATTTTTGGTATCTTTTGCTGTGGTTATTGATAATCCCACACCAGCGACATTTTACGCGTGTTGTACGAGTTTCTACAAGGATTCTAGCAACTTCTACAGATTTCTTTCTACAGTGATCTACATTGTCTACAGTTTCTACAATTTCTACAAGCATCTCTACAAGGATAAGGGCCTCTAGTGCTTAGCTAAGGGCCTCTAGTGCTTAGCTAAGAGCCCATGATACTTCTATAGAAATCCTTATACAAGAAAACATGCTTCACATAAATATAAAAATGTTTATATGAAAGGATAGCTCCATACGGAAGGTGTGCAAATTGATTTGCTGAATTGCGTTCTGGAGATAAATCCTCGAAGACAAAGACAGTCAGCAAAGGCAGACAGACAAAAGACAGACAGACAAAGACAAAGACAGTGCAGCAGTTCGGCTGAAAGTTTCTTGAAATCTTTCAAACCAACAACCGAAGCTTTCTTTTTCAGTTCAGATAGCGGATAAGAGTTATTAGTTGAGAATATAAAAATGTTGAAACATTTGCATAAACTTGAGTTTAAATCGAAATTCGGAACTTGGTTCTTTGATGAACAGACAGGGAGACGGAACATAACAGACATGGAGAAATGTCAACTAATCAGAGAATGCTTATCCAGAACCATCTCAATCAGCTCATCTTTCACGATACGGGTTATTAGCTATTCTCTAGAATAGCTAATAACTAAGCTAATAATTACGTTATTTAGTCACAGATCAGAGTTTCGGTCTAGTTAGAGTGTTCAGTCTCCAGACTGTCTCCCGGATTACCGATATCCAATCTAGAATAATAGGATATTCAGTGTAGAATAGCTGGATTACGTTATTGAGTCACAGATTAGAGTATTCAAGGTCCCTAGATCATAGCATTCAGTCTGGATTAGAGTATTCAGTCTAGACTGTTAGGATTACGGCATTCAATCTAGAATAGGATATTCAGTCTAGAATAATAGTTAGATTACGGTATTTAGTCACGATACTTGAAAATCTCGCTTGGATGGGAGATGATGACCGATCCAGTTCTGATCTTGCACCTTTTGACTACTACTTATTCCTTTGATGAGCAATGAAGCGGGCCAATAAGCGCTTTGATTCTGAAGATGGTGTGAAAAAAGGGATTGATTAGACGGATCAGATCAAACGGACGGATGGCGAATCAGATCAAACGAACGGATTACGGATCACATCAAACAGACGGATTACGGATCAGATCAAACGAACGGATTATGGATCAGATCAAACAGACGGATTACGGATCACATCAAACAGACGGATTACGGATCAGATCAAACGAACGGATTATGGATCAGATCAAACAGACGGATTACGGATCACATCAAACAGACGGATTACGGATCAGATCAAACAGACGGATTACGGATCAGATCAAACAGACGGATTACGGATCAGATCAAACGAACGGATTACGGATCACATCAAACAGACGGATTACGGATCAGATCAAACGAACGGATTACGGATCACATCAAACAGACCCGGATTACGGATCAGATCAAACAGACCCGGATTACGGCTCACATCAAAACCAATCAAATCAATCAAATTAAAACCAATTTTTTAAGGAAACAGGCTTTCGATCTTTGCCAGTGAAATGGATCCGGGATTTAACAGAAATAAAATGAATTTAACATCCTAGGTTTTCGTGCTTTGATTTACCTCTTGAAAGTGTGCTGAATCCTCGTGTCGAATTGCTCGCTTGAAGCGCTCAACATTCGTGAAGATCAACAGGGCGTCAGATCTGTAAGGTAACTTTAGAGATGCTTGATTCTTTGACCTGCAAAAAATCAAGAGGATTCGAAAGGCAGGACCTTCGATTTCTGGGATTGATTCTACCGTTCTAGAGTCAATCGTCACAAGCACTCAACCATCGCACACTTGGCTTTGTAGTGTACTTCGTGCTGGAAAATTAGAAACGCACTCTGTCTTTTTACCTGATAACGGGAACAATTGGCGGAATAGCGGCTGAGAAACGATTGGCCACACGAAAATCCCCACACGGAAGACGACCCATTTCATTCATTGGAGGCCTAGAAAAGAGTTTAGTTTTAAAGAAGCTAGAGAAGCTAGATTTTACAAATCCAAAGCTTTATTTTGTTAGATAATTCCGAAAATCGAAAGTTAGATAGTTTTTTAACTCAAAAAACCCGAAAAAAAAAAGCTTTTTTGAGAACCTAAAAAGAGCCAGCTATATTGAGACCAATGTCACTGAAATTGGGATTGAAAATTTGATTTAAATAAAGACTTTTTCCCCAACCATTGAGTCCGGGCAATGACACTGAGGACGGCGAGGACGACGCCAGCAACGAGACCTTCAACTATATCATAGCCGAGTACGCAAATGGCCGTGATCACCCAGATTGCCTAAAGGGAAATTGAGGATTGAAGGAATTGATCGAGCATGATGATCGAGCTAACTCTAGTCTAACTATTCTTCTAACAAGGGAAAGGCCTTTCGAAGCTGGCCTTTTGAAGTTGGCCTTTTGAAGCTGGCCTTTTGAAGTTGGTCTTTTGAAGCTGGCCTTTTGAAGTTGGCCTTTTGAAGCTGGCCTTTTGAAGTTGGCCTTTTGAAGCTGGCCTTTTGAAGCTGGTCTTTTGAAGCTGGCCTTTTGAAGCTGGCCCTTTGAAACTGGCCTTTTGAAGCTGGCCTTTTGAAGCTGGTCTTTTGAAGCTGGTCTTTTGAAGTTGGCCCTTTTGACTCAAGTCCAAGTCCATTTTATAGAGTCGGGCATGATCTCGAGTCTGTTTTTAGTTTCGCAAAGCTTCGCATAAAGCGCGAGATATCCTTTCGGACTCCTTAAGAAGCCGAACAACTGCTTCGGTGGCCTAGTGGATAGTCTGCTAGACCACGGAACCTATGACACTTTTTGCCTGAGGTTCGAGGTCCCACTCTCGTCAAACCATTTTTTGCTTTTTTAGAAAACTGTTCCCCTACGTATTTAGCATGAATAATAGTGTTGAATTTATGCATTTGTAAATTTCAGAATAAGTAGGCAAGCAGTTTGTTCGGAAAAATAAAAGGTTTGGCGAGAGTGGACTTTAAGCTGAGGGCAAGAAATGTAACAGCTTCGATTGTCTGGCCAACTATCCACTAGGCCACCGAAAAGTTGTTTTCAGGCGGTGTGTGGCGGCTTGTTAAGGAGTCCGAAAGGATATTTGGCGCTTGCAGCTTTCTACAAAACTACAAACGGATTCGAGATCATGGCCGACTCTAGAAGATGGATTGTTCTCGAGTCAAAAGGCCAGCTTCACTAGATCAGCCAAAGGGTCAGCTTGACTAGATGAGACAAAGGGCCAGCTTAGCTTCCTTTTCTGGGATTTTCCCTTCTAAGAGTTTGAAGTAAAACGGTAAAATGATCGTTAAAGCATCGTTTAGCTCAGCATTTCTAAAGTAAGCTGACACTTGGAGAACTTGTAAGCGTCGTAGGTAGGAGAAACGACAGAATACGACAACTACCGTAAGTCTGTTACCCTATAGTTACAGTATGCTAGATTAGAGTTGAAAAACAGATGCCGATTACCGTAATCAAGTCCACATTACTGTATTCTTGTGAAATTTCGTTAAAAAAAGTTTCAATATTGTTAATAAACTTAAGAAATATTGATTATAAAGTACTGTTTGGTTAGAAAAGTTCGGTACATGTACATGTGGAAATGTACATGTGGAAATATGTACATAAGGAAATGTACATGTGGAAATGTACATGTGAAATGTACATATGGAAATGTACATGTGGAAATGTACATGTGGAAATGTACATGTGGAAGTGTACATGTGGAAATGTACCTATGGAAATGTACATCTGGAAATGTACATGTGGAAATGTACATGTGGAAATGTACATGTGGAAATGTACCTATGGAAATGTACATAAGAAATGTACATGTGGAAATGTACATGTGGAAATGTACATGGAAATGTACATGTGGAAATGTACATAAGGAAATGTACATGTGGAAATGTACATCGGAAATGTACATGTGTACAATTCGTATGGAAAGTAAGCAAGACAACTTACCGCTTAACGTTTACTTACTCGTTTAACTTACCGCATCAATTTTTGAGATTTTGTACAACGGTCCGACTTCGGTCACTTTCATCATCAAAGATCGCAGTGCCACGATGACAATTGAGCTCAAGACACACTAAAACATTTTCATTTAATAACATTTATTAGGCTTTTCATCTAGCTATCTATTTTCAATTTCTTTTCAATTTCTTTTCAATTTCTTTTCCATTTCTTTTACCATTGGAAGATCCTCAAGAAGTGGGCCCAACAACCAAAATGACAACCAATGTAATTGACGCTGAAATGACACCAGAAATCTAAAAAATGAATGGTACGCTCGATTTTAAAGCTTAAAAAGGCGCTTTTAACAAAAAAGGAATCGCTTTAGGATTTAAACCTAATTTATTACGCCTTCTCAACCCAGCCCCCTGGCCTAGTGGCTAAGAGCCCTGTTTCTCACACGGGAGTTAGAGGTGAGGCAAAGGGTTCGATCCCGCCAACTAGATCTTCGAATTTTTTGCAGATTTCTGGGTTATTTTTCAATTGCTATTGAAAGTTTTGACTGGTTTTGACTGGTTTTGACTGGTTTTGACTGGTTTTGACTGGTTTTGACTGGTTTTGACTGGTTTTGACTGGTTTTGACTGGTTTTGACTGGTTTTGAATGATTTTGACTGGTTTTGACTGGTTTGACTGCTCTGACTGCTTTGACTGCTCTGACTGCTTTGACTGCTTTGACTGCTTTGACAGGTAACAAAATTTGATACAAAGAGTGAATTTGGTTCAAAAACTTGAGACTTTCTAATCAAAAATTGAAGTTGGGACTCAAAATTCAACTTTAATTCAACTCTAATTCAACTTTTCTATCTTTTTGTTAAACCCTTTAGACTTACTTGTGATTTTGCGCCCGAAGCCTCATTGACAAGGGTTCTTGAAAGGGAGCAACTTGTCGGGAAAACATTGAACATCGATGAGAAAACAGATACAGTACCCAAGGCTAAAAGCTCCTGAAAAGATGGGGTTTAGCTTTATTTCTTTTTTTTCTAAACCCTCACTTGATTTGGATTTATTGTGTATCCATGCTTTTTCGCGAACATTTTCCCCATTGACACAGTGATGGCAAAAGCGACGACAGCAATTGAAAGGCCATAGGAAAGGAGGTGAGGGAAGAGCTTGAGATTTGGGAAGTGGAATGGAGGGAAACTGAAATCGGGAATTTATAATGAATGTTTTCTCAATTTGATTCAATTTTGAGTACTCGAATGACTCTTTGAGATTTGCTTTGTGCTGTTTAAAGTCTAAAATGATTGATATTGAAAGCGACAACAGCAATTGAAAGACCATAGGTGTAAGAAATATACTTTATACTTTGATCTTTATAATCTTTATAATTTCTCTTTCTTGCGAGACGGTGTATCGGTGTGGTTCAGTTATTAGAGCCTGAGCCTGAGCCTAAGCCTATCCCAAAATCGACTTGTCAGATCTCAAATTCCAGACACGAGATCGACCTGAAAATTTGCCAGGATGCTCCTCTGGGAGGCGCAAGCACAACACCAAACGGGTGTCCCTTAGCTCCGAGAACTCGATGAGATCCAAAAAATGGGGGTTCAGCCCAAACCCAAATACACTTAGTGCTAGGCGCTAGCCGCTAGCCTTCGCACTAAGTCCAAGCCTGAGCCTAAGCCTAAGCCTAAGCCTAAGCCTAAGTCTGAGCCTAAGCCTAAGCCTGAGCCTCAGCCTGAGCCTAAGCCTAAGCCTGAGCCTCAGCCTGAGCCTAAGCCTAAGCCTGAGCCTAAGCCTAAGCCTGAGCCTCAGCCTGAGCCTAAGCCTAAGCCTAAGCCTAAGTCTGAGCCTAAGCCTAAGCCTGAGCCTCAGCCTGAGCCTAAGCCTAAGCCTAAGCCTAAGTCTGAGCCTAAGCCTAAGCCTGAGCCTCAGCCTGAGCCTAAGCCTAAGCCTGAGCCTAAGCCTAAGCCTGAGCCTAAGCCTAAGCCTGAGCCTAAGCCTAAGCCTGAGCCTAAGCCTAAGCCTGAGCCTAAGCCTAAGCCTGAGCCTAAGCCTAAGCCTGAGCCTAAGCCTAAGCCTGAGCCTAAGCCTGAGCCTGAGCAAACTGGAGCAACCTGGCACTATCACAATTACTTCAACACTTGCGTGTGAAAAAAAGGAGCCCACGATTGACTCAAACTGACCATTATCTGACTAAATAATGGGTTTTTAAGTACACAAGCTACGACAAACGGACAACTGAATATCGTCTAGTGACTGATTACGGTAGTTTATCCATCAACTTTGAATTTTAACTTGCGTATTCAATTTTGATTAACTGCAGAGCAGTGGCAATTCGCCAAAATAGGAAAGGAGAAATAGGGGGAAAGAGGGAGAAAGTTTGAGATTTGAGAAGTGGAATGGAGGGAAACTGATTCGATTCGATGATTAGATCTTGTAGAGTGTTATATTGATTTAAATCTTGATTTAAGTCTTGACTTGATATAAGTCTTGACTTATATCAATTCAAGACTTTAATGCATTGGATTTAGTGCGTTTCAACTGATAAGCACAAAGTACACCTTGTCGATAAAGAATCTCTCAATAATCAAAGCTTATTGTCTCTCTAAATACTTCAATACTTCAGAAAGCCTTCTATTTATGAGCGTTCCTTGATAGTTCCTTTATAGTTCCTATTTAGTTCCTTTAAAGTTCCTTTATCGTTCCTTTGATCAAGCTAATCAAATAAATCACTTTCAACCATTCTAGAGATCATTCGATCAAGTTTCCCGTTTGTTTAGCTTGAACAAAGCTAGATCAAAGCTAGATCAAAGCTAGATCAAAGCTAGATCAAAGCACTCACCCAGTTGGAATGTCATTGATAATGTTGACCTTCCATTTCTCGTGAATCTTCAAGAAATGTGAGAAGATTGTCACACTCACTAGCTGAAATTTGTCGATTCCTTTCGATCTTTTGATTCCAGACCTTTCGATCTTTTGATTCCAGCTTTAAATCCAATTTTAGCTTCAACTTTTCCTCACCAAAATGAGCTCCGATGGAAATGGGATCTTCTTGAATGGCCAGTATCGATCCGAGAGAAATCGCGATCCCAACAGAAAAGTGATTGATGTTAATGAGATCAATAGCACTTTCCAATTGACGTGATCGAACTCTTTACAGATGTCGATCAATTGCTGTAATGCGGATTTCTATTAATTGTATAAGCTTTATAGACTTACATAGATTATCATGAAGAATTCGGAGTCTCGATTGGGGACTTTTATCCCAAGCAAAGCTGGCAGCTAAACACTTCAAGATTATGCTAGTTTTGAGACGATAGCTTGGTGGATATATTAGGTTGGCAACTAAATAATGGCCCTCGCCCTTTTTTGATAAAATCTTTTAATCTTTGCGTTTAATCTACCCTCGCTTGTTGTTAATTGAATATTACTGAATTTCTGGTGCATTATTATACGTTTTTTACTTTCCTTGATTTGATACTTTTCAAATAATTTTGTTTAGAAATGGAAGATCTCAAATATCGAATGCGTGTCTGTCTCTGGTACGACTACAAACAAGACAAAACAGCTGCCGAATCCCACAGAGATTTATTGCGAGTTTTTGGTGATGAAGCTCTTTCCGAAACACAATGTAAGAGATGGTATCGACGGTTCAAGGAAGGGGATGAAAGTCTTGAAGATGAGCCTCGCCAAGGACGACCCGAACTTCTGCAGAACGATATTTTGGAAGCAGCTTTAAAGGAGGATCCCAAGTCAAACATCACGCGGGCTAGGGGATCGATTGGGCTTTTCGCATACTGCAATCGAAAAGCGATTTCATGCATTCGGGAAAAGTAACCGCAGTGGAAAGTGGATTCCGCATGAATTGAGCGAAGAAAATAAGGCTACTCGTGTTATCACAGCTGGAATACTACTAAAACATGCGAAAAAGGGAAGCTTCTTGGGTTCCATTGTCACTTCTGATGAAAAATGGATCTTTTATGATAATCGAACGCGAAAACGACAGTGGCTTAGCACAAACGAAGACCCAAAACCAACTCCGAAGCCGGATATTCACTCAAAGAAAACTCTCCTCTGTGTGTGGTGGAGTTCTCGTGGGTTGGTGCATTTCGAGGTTCTCAAAAGCCGGCAAACGGTTAATTCCGAACTCTATTCGTCACAACTCCCGTGTGAGATCAAGCAATTCGCTCTCAAGGACTCGAACCCTCTTCAATTCATTTTCTCCATGATAACGCAAAACCACACACTGCAAAACTTACAATGGAGAAGATCGAGGAGTTGGGCTGGAATGTTCTTCCTCATGCGCCATACAGCCCGGATATGGGGCCTAGTGATTACCATCTTTTTTCGATCGATGCAACACTTTCTAGCCGAGAAAAAGTTCAATGACCTTGACGAAGTCCGAATTTCAGTGCAGAATTTCTTTGACGATCAACCAGAAGAATTTTTCAAGAGAGGAATCCAGTTGCTCCGTCAAAAGTGGAAAGAAGTAATAAAGAATGACGGAGAATACCTTTTGGATTGATGTTGATATTTGTTCATCTTGTTAATAAATTTTTTGTTTTTACTGAAAGGGGCCATTATTTAGTTGCCAACCTGATAGTTATCTCTTTTAGATATAGTTAGTTATCTTCTCAGCTAGTTAGTTATCTTCTCAGCTGGTTATCTTCTCAGCTAGTTAGTTATCTTCTCACCTAGCGATCTTCTCACCTAGCGATCTTCTCACCTAGCGATCTTCTCACCTAGCTATCTTCTCACCTAGCTATCTTCTCACCTAGCTATCTTCTCACCTAGCTATCTTCTCACCTAGCTATCTTCTCACCTAGCTATCTTCTCAGCTAGTTAGCTATCTTCTCACCTAGCGATCTTCTCACCTAGCTATCTTCTCACCTAGCGATCTTCTCACCTAGCTATCTTCTCACCTAGCGATCTTCTCACCTAGCTATCTTCTCACCTAGCTATCTTCTCACCTAGCTATCTTCTCACCTAGCTATCTTCTCAGCTAGTTAGCTATCTTCTCACCTAGCGATCTTCTCACCTAGCTATCTTCTCACCTAGCGATCTTCTCACCTAGCTATCTTCTCACCTAGCTATCTTCCTCAGCCTAGTTGGCTATCTTCTCACCTCGCGATCTTCTCACCCTAGCTATCTTCTCACCTAGCTATCTTCTCACCTAGCTATCTTCTCACCTAGCTATCTTCTCAGCTAGTTGCTTATCTTCTCAGCTACCCAATAACTAGTTACCCCTTTTAGATAAACCTAGTTACTAGTTACCTAGTTACTCTTGATATCTTCTTTTTCAATGTTTACTTGTGATCTAGCTGAATGGATGGCTGCTCCGAACATGAATCCATTGACAACCGCATCCGACATGTAAGCAGTGAGGAACTCGAGACGGAACAACCACATGATTAACTGAAATTCTCCATTTTGGTATTGATTGCGAAGAGTTTTCGAGAACCATCTTTAAAAGCTCAATGTTGAAGCTTTCACATTGAGCTTACACTTTTTAAACTCTATCTACTGAACGCTTGAATAAGAAAACAATGAAATGTTTGTTTTCTCGAAGGATTTCAAAAGCTTATAGACTTTACAAGAATCAAATCTTCTTTCTAGAGGCTGTAGAAACTATGTGAAATCTAGAAATCTAGAAATCTAGAAAGCTAGAAAGCTAGAAAGCCTAGAAATCTAGAAGTCTTGGAATGCAAGCTAGAAATCTAAGAAACCTAGAAACCTGGAAGTCTAGAAAGCTAGAAAGCTAGAAGCCTAGAAATCCAGAAACCTAGAAAGCTAGAAACCTAGAAACCTAGAAACCTGGAAGTCTAGAAAGCTAGAAATCTAGGAAACCTAGAAATCTAGAAGTCTAGAAACAATCGATTCTCGATTTAACGACTCTTGATACAATGATTTTGAAATTCTAAACGCTCCTTTGGCTTCTCCGTAGCTGCCCAACCAACTGTTGACATTTCAGGGCAGCTAATTGAGTTCGATCCCCGTGAATTCGAAAGTGCTATTGATCTCATTAGCATCAATCACTTTTCTGTTCTAGAATCGTTTAAAATCGAGATTTTCCTCCCGAACGAATCGCTAAATCGAGAGTCGATTGAATTAGCATTCTTGTCATTGCCATTCTCATTCTCTGCACTCCGTAGCTGCCCAGCCAGCTCCGTAGCAACCCACCAGCTCGTAGCTCGCCAGCTCGGCTACCCAGCCAGCTCCGTAGCTACCCAGCCAGCTCCGTAGCTGCCCAGCCAGCTCCGTAGCTACCCAGCCAACCTGTATAATCCCAGTTGTAAACGATAAAGCGGCAACGATATCAACAGGATGAAGATTCTCAATTCCTTTGTATTCAGTGGATCCATCGGGAAGAAGCGAGGTTCGAGCATGGCCGATCATCATACAAGTGATACTGAATACACCTGGAAAAGGAAAGGAAAAGTCGACTCTGGGAAAACGTTTTATTTCATTGGCCTTTGTTTCAAATTACTTTCAAATTACTTTCCATTTCATTTTACTTAATAACTTTTACTATAATAACTCTATTTTCTTTCAAAAAATCTAATTCTTGATCTCCGAAAAGTGCCAATTTTGTTTTGATCTCTCACTCTGACTGCTCTATTTACTTGTCCCAAAAGAAATAGCGAAAGTCAAGTCATGTTTTTCTGATCAAACAAAATTTATTAATTCATTTAAGCTGTCTATTTTTTCTGTTTTTAAAGCAAATGATTTTTGAAAATTTACCAATGCTCGTATGGAATCCAGTTCCCAAAATGGCGTAGATGAGTGGCGGGAAGAAAGAGGCATAGAGACCGTAGACTGGGGGGTGAGGCCAAAACGGAGTAGGCCATACCTGAAGAATGAGAATGAGATTGAGAAAGTTGAGAAAGAGAAAGAGAAAGAGAAAAAGAGAAAGAGGAACCGACCAGGCGTCCGGATCTGATCCGAACGTCCGAATCCGGCCTTTGATTACCTTGTGGTCAGATTTGGACGTCTGAATCCGATCCGGACGTCAGTAGCTGATCCGGACGTCCGAATCCAGCCATTGAATATCTTGTGGTCAGATCCGGATGTCTGAATCCGATCCGGACGTCAGAATCTGATCCGAACGTCCGAATCCGGCCTTTGATTATCTTGTGGTCAGATTTGGACGTCTGAATCCGATCCGGACGTCAGAATCTGATCCGAACGTCCGAATCCAGCCATTGATGATCTTGTGGTCGAACTCGGACGGCTGAATCCGATCCGGACGTCTGAGTCTGATCCGGACGTCCGAATCCAGCCATGATTATCCTGTGGTCGGACCCGGACGTCTAAATCCGATCCGGACGTCAGAATCTGATCCGAACGTCCTAATCTGATCTGGACGTCAGAATCTGATCTGGACGTCCGAATCCGATCCGAACGTCAGAATCTGATCCGAACGTCCTAATCTGATCTGGACGTCCGAATCCAGCCATTGAATACCTTGTGGTCGGATTCGGACGTCCAAATTCAACCACACTCATTCTGGTCGGATTCGGACGGATCAGATCCGAACGCCTGGTTGCATTCGGACGTAACATATACATAAAGTGCTCAAATCCTCTATAAAGTACATGTTTACCTTGTGGCACATTATAGATGCCCACAGTGACGCCAGCAATGATGTCGGCCATCAGATTTCGCACCTTGTATTTGGGAATCCATGAGAGCACTGGGACGCGTCTTCTGGCGGTTTTAAGAAGGCCTAAATCTTGATAAGAGACAAATAATGAAGTTGATTTCACCTCGCTTCGAGCAAAACGATCGTGTGTACTGTTTGGAGAACTCGAAACCCTGTCTCCACAACGGGATCTCCTCGTCGATTCGGAAGCCATTCTCCCGATCGAAATCCGCCTAGAAATCTTGGGGCTTTTGGTTTGTTTTGTTTGTTTTGTTTGCACTTTTGTTCCGACTCTAAAAAAACGAACATTTTTGTGTACAAAAAAAGCTAGAACACATTCGATTTGAGTGGTTAAATTTGAGATTTCATATTTCAAAGTTCAGATTTCAAATTTGACTCAATTTCAACTTTCAGACTTCAAAATTGACTCAATTTCAGCTTTCAAATTGCAGCTTTGACTCAATTTCAACTTTCAAATATCAAAATTGACTCAATTTCAATCTCAGACTTCAGCTTTGCCTCAATTTCAACTCTCAAATTCAACTCCTCATTTCCCCATTTCCCCCAAAGAAAGTTCACACTTTTAGACTTAAACGTGATCTTTTCTCATTCTTTTTGCTGGGGAACCAAAAAGTGATTCGCAAATAAATAAACACGACAAATATTTCCCCCGCTAAAAGTGTTTGATCTGTTTGATCTGTTTATCAACAAACATTTTGTCGGAAAAGAATTTCTTGAATTCATTTTTCTTTCTTCCTTTCTTTCCTTCTCTCTTTTCCTCTCTTTCTCTTTCTTTTGCGGACATTTTCTTCATTTTCCCAGTGCCACTCGGTACTCATAGAACACGGTGATCTTTTAAAAAAAAAATAAGGGAAATTTCCTCAATTTCTTGAGGAAAAGTGAAACGTGAGCGTCTGATCATGGTCGGGAAAGTTATTGCATCAGCCGTGTTGGCACACACGTGGATTTTCGGGGGTGAACATGCGCGAATTGGATACGGTAAGAAAAGAAAGGTCAGAAAGATCAGAATCGAGCAAACGGTCAAAGGATTTACAAAACATTTGCATTTCCACGTTTGTCAATAGGTGAACAACGGAAATTCAGGCTTTAGTCGACTTAAGCGTCGACTTAAGCATCGTCTTAAGCGCTTTAATCGACTTCAGCGTCGTCTTAACCGCTTTAATCAACTTAAGCATCGACTTAAGCGTCGTCTTAACCGCTTTAATCAACTTCAGCGTCGACTTCAGCGCTTTAATCATTGTATTAGTTTTTACGCTTTAATCAACTTCGTCTTTAAACTTAAGCGTCGTCTTAACCTTAAGCGTCGTCCGCTTTAATCAACTTTTAACAAACGGTTTTCTTATCGTTTGATAGTATTTTAAAGGCTCTATGGTGAAAATGGAGAAAATGGAGAAAATGGTGAAAAAAACATTCGAAAAAGACGATTTTAAAGGGCTTAAGAAGTGAATTTTCGCTGTGCATCGATGAAGACGAAAATCTTCATTAGTATTGACAGTACCGGTATGTACAGTACCAAAATAATATCAATCCCTCCATCTTCAAGCTTCAGTGCAAAAAAAACCCCATCTTCAACCCCTTTTTTCGGTTTTTTTCGGTATGTAAACGTGGGAGTTTTTTGAAATTCAATGAAAAAGTGAGAAATTCATTCCGAAAGTTGAAATTTCCAGTGGTTGAAAGGGTTGAATTGAATTGAATTGAATTGAAGGGTTGAAATGCTTCAAAAACTAATCTCAACTCAAATACAAAATAGATCATTCGCTAGATTTTGAATTAAGCTTTCAGAATGTATCTGGTATGCTTCAGAATGCTTGAGAATGCTTGAGAATGCTTGAGAATGCTTGAGAATGCTTCAGAATGCTTCAGAATCCTTCAGAATGCTTGAGAATCCTTCAGAATGCTTGAGAATGCTTCGGAATGCTTCAGAATGCTTCAGAATGCTTCAGAATGCTTCAGAATCCTTCAGAATGCTTGAGAATGCTTGAGAATGCTTCAGAATCCTTCAGAATCATTCAGAATGCTTCAGAATGCTTCAGAATGCTTCAGAATGCTTCAGAATGCTCCAGAATGCTTCAGAATGCTTCAGAATGCTTCAGAATGCTTCAGGATGCTTCAGGATGCTTCAGAATGCTTCAGAATGCTTCAGAATGCTTCAGAATGCTTCAGGAAGCTCTAGAAGGCTTCAAGAATGCTTCAGAGTTCTTTAGAATGTATTCGAGGGGAACTCTCACGTTTACATACTGAAAAAAGGGCTTGAAGATAGAGTTTTTTTTGCGAGGGATTGATATTGCTTTGGACGGTACTGTGCATTCTGTAGAAATTTGAAATGTTAAAGGGATTGGGTGTTTAGCTTTGGTTTTTAACTTAAGCGAGACTGGAGTTGGTCAAGGCTTATGCAGAATGGGAATACCTAGGCATGGGGATACCTCGACCTATCCCCATACCTCTGCAATTGGTCAAGGCTGGTAGATTTAGGGCTTAAAAGTTTTTTTTCATGATGTAAACTATCCAATTGGGCTCGTTTCACAAGCGCTGATCTATCAATCTCAAATTTTGGCAATTGCAATGAACTTGAGTATGGCTTAAACTCTAACAACTACAGCTAACAATCTAACAATTACAGCTAAGCATCAAGAACCACAGCTAAGAATCATGAACTACAGCTAAGAATCATGAACTACAGCTAAGAATCTAACAACTACAGCTAAGAATCAACTACAGCTAACAATCTAACAACTGTCAAGTAAATGAAGCTCAAACCTGTGTCTATTTCTAACCAGGGAATTCCTTGAAGTTATTTCAAAAGTGATCTGATTCCGAGGAACACCCCTGGTTGAACTGCTGCTTTTAAAACTGCTTTCAAATCCTATCTATCAAAAGCCATTTTTGAGATATAACCCTGCAAATTTTCGACCAATTGCGCCAATTGTACCGGTGAACAAGCTAAGCGTTCGCACGAACAGGCCTACTTAAGGCGTTCGCACGGGCCAATCCCTGGGCCTCAATAGCCTAGTGGATAGTGAGTTAGCTCGTGAGCTTTCTTTGATCCTGGGTCGAATCAAAGAAAACCGACCATCAGTCGATCAGCCTTTAGAAAATCTTCGAAAATCACTCTTTTGATCAGTAAGCTCTTAAATAATATGATAATATAAGTTTGATGTAAAAAAAGGTGAATAATTGATCTAACAGCCTATTTTGGGGATACTTTAACGGGTTCTCTGGTAAGAAACTCATCGCTTCCACTGGACTGACATCTCGTAGTGAAAGCTCATTGGTTTAATCAAGGATCGAGGATCAAGGACAAGGATCTAGGATCAAGGATTGAGGATCGAGGATTGAGGATCAAGGATCAAGGATCAAAGGATCAAGGATCGAGGATCAAGGATCGAGGATGAATGATCAAGGTCAAGGATCATGGATCAAGGGATCAAGGATCGAGGATCGAGGATCAAGGACAAGGATCAAGGATTAATGAAGAATTTTCCGATCAGGTCACCTCAAATTGCAGATTTTTACCCCCAATTTGTATCAAATATTGTATTTTACCTCCAATTGATTTCTAATAACAAGAATGAGCCTGATTGCAGTAGCAAAACGAAAACACAATCGTAGTGCCTTATTATTGAAAGATCATGGCCTTTATCATGGATTTAATAGTTATTTAGCAGATTACAATAGTTACAGTCAACAAAACAAGTTACTAATTACATTACTGTACATTACTGTCCATAACTGT